ATAAAAAATTCAACTAGCTTATTTGAAAAGCTACCTAAAGTAGCTTATGAAATAAGCTCGAGCTTTTTAAAAAAGCTCGTCCTACCAAACGAAACATATTTTAAACAGGGTGCTTATAAGCTAACCAAATAAGCTATAAGCTAGCTTATTTGGCTTACCAAACATACCATAGAGACGACTGCGAGTCGTCCGGCCCAAACTTATGCACGGGCCGCTTTCATTAAACTGTCGGTTTCGAGCTGGTTCAGGTCAATAAAAAACAATGAAAATAATTAAAAATAAAAAAAAGTATTGTCGTTTTCGATTCTAGTCCGGAATCGACTCGAAAGTTCAAAAATTACAAATATGTGGCCCAAAACCGGCTCAGTCAAACCACGAGCTAGTTAAGGCCGTTCCGGCTGAATCAGTGAGCCGGGCCGGGCCGTGACCATGTCTAGGTGTGTTTAGATATGAATCATGTTTAGTTTTTATTGGTTTTTATTTAATTATGGTTAATTAAAAAAAGTTGGTTGAGTTAGCTCTAAGTGAAAATTTGAGTTTGTATCAAAATAATATTTAAAAAATTTGATAATTAAAGTCGATTTGATGTAAAAGTATGAGAAATGTATTGAAAGTGATGAATAGTTGAAATTACGTGAGTGAATGAATATTGATTTAAAGTTGATGTGATATATGATGATAAATGATTGATATTTTTTAATTATATTAATGATATTGATGACGATTGAGTTGAATTAAATTTAAATTGTTATTGTATTTGTCCAACCAAAATTTATATCGAAACACCACCTTAGGGTGTGTTTGGCATCGATCAAATTGAATAGACCTGTTGACATACGGGCCGAGCTAGGAGAATATAGAGTTGGCTAATGCAATTAAATAGACGATATCACTAAGTATGGAACTCGGGTCGGAGAACTGCAAGGGAACGATTATTCCCAGGAATGAAAACGTGTGGGTACAGAGCGTGATCTGAAAGGGGTCCAATCTAAAGGGACAGTTAGTCGGAGGATCGACCAACTGAGAAACAAACATCACCAGGTCAGACGATCTATGTGAACTAGCGAAGGTTCGACCCTACAGTGGTCTTGGTAGAAGAATCAACAGGGCCGCCAATAGCACATTGTAACATACTCAAAAACATGTGCTCGGGTAGACAAATAAGAAACTTGGGTAGAATAACCGAGTTCAAGACATGGCTAAATCGAGCAAGATACATGTGCAAAGACCCGAGCCGAGCACACTCAGGCGGCATAAAAAGCCTAGAGCAAATTGCAACTTACATCAACATCAAAATGACAGGAAAAGTCTGACAAAAGTCTGTCCGCCTACGTCGAAAAGCTTCATAGGGTCATGTGCAGCATTTAATGCTTGTCTTTTCCATTTAATGCACAATTGTACTGCCCGAGAAACAGTAGCCGGGCCATCTTACTATAAATAATCCCAGGAATCCATTGTAAAGGAGGTTCAGAAAATTTCTACAACTAAGTCATATTTTCGCACATTAAATATTGTAATTAAGACGAGCACCCGAGCTCAAGTAACAGAAAGTCTGACCTCATACTAGCTCAAGTAACAAAAAGTCCGACCTCATACTTGTTCGTTTTTACGCATATTTATTGTTTGTTAAATATTGAATTTTGTCGACTTGATCATTGGATTGCTGGAACTAAATCAGTGCTTTGGGTTGATCAGATTTTGATGGGTTGTCATTATTTTAGACCGTTTGAAATAGCAGTAGTGATATCAATTTCATGTATTTTTGTTTTGAACTGGACCACTTGTGTCAATATGGTTGTATGGATAAAAGATAATAATCAATAAGACAAGATAAACCGAAATAATTAAATAAAGTTATGTCATAAATTAATCTAAGTACTCATAAATTCTTGAATCCGAAAAAAGTTTTAGCTCTTAAACATATTCTCAAAATAAATAAATAAATGAGTTCAATGAAAAAAAAATATAAAATGAAGAATAACTATTGTCGCCGTGTAATTTTGATCTTCAATCTCTCTTACGGTTTCCCCGTGCTGTCTTATGTTATTTCTCAACCTCATAAGCTGTCAAAAAGTACTTCAAAATCGAGTTCTTCATCAGGTCCCTTCAAAATCTTGACCTCTCATATCTGCACCATTTGTTTGGCTATTGGACCACCTCACACGAGTCGTGTGACTCCTAATTTGCACACTAAATTCGTCGTTTTTCATCTTGGTTATATTTTTAACACTTTTCCGGCATATTTCCTATAAAAACTAGCAACAAAAAAACACATCTATTATAAATAAATAAATCAAACAATTCGAACAGTAAACACGACCAAGCATGCCAATATTATATGATTATATCACTCAAAAGAATCGTATAAATTCAAATCAATTCTACAATTGAATTTAATATTAATAAAATATCTTATAATAACCAAAACGCATAAATGCAGCCACCAAAGGCAGTTTTGATCTTTTGATACAACCACACTTGGCTCTACTCTGAGAAAAAAAACAATTATAATCGCCTGATACAAAATAAGAACATATGCTTTTTATTGCCTATGGTATATGATACATTTTAGAAGGCTTCAGAGCTCGAGTGACATTGAAATAGTTCAATGTCCGAAACCACTTTTCCGGTGTCTTCAATAGATGAACCGCTACCGTATCCGGCCACAACTCGTGCGTGCACCTCGTGGGCGGCTCGGGATAGTTGTACATCGACCATTTCGCGTTGTACCTGTTCTTTCCACGGTGGCCCTCTCGGAGCCAATCCCCGAATATCTTATCCTCCGGTCCTTCTAGATGCTTCTTGGGGATGTCCGAGTCCCTTAGCCACTCGACAATATCCCACGACACTAAGTAGCCCATGCCCGACATGTAATGCACGAACGGGTCCATACTAGGGCACGGTATGACGTATCCATAGTACAAATCTTCTCTAGGCAACGGCCTCAACGAGTCGACTAGACTTTGCAATCTAAAATACACGTCATCGTCGCCTTTCATTACATAATGATAAAGCGGATAAGGAACTCCCGTATCGTTTTTCAGTAGCATGTCAGGCAAACTCGAGAAATACGTGTAGGTTTTACCTTTGTTCATGTTCTCTTTGCAATTGAGGATGATTATGTCGTCGTAGCGCATGATTTCGAGTGCCACCAAGACCTTTTGGTCTTCTTTGGTGAGATTGCAAAACACGAATTTGACATCGACACGTGCCCTGACTACGGATTGCGTCCCGTAGATGAGTCGGAGGAAGTGCCTCTTTTGGTATTGATCGGGAACCGTCAGGATCCCGATCAGTACCCTAATGTCGTCGCTCGATAATGAGGATGTCAATGGAAATGTCGTGTTTGTTTCGAGCATTTGTAGCGACGGTTGACCGGAAAAAGCACATTGGCTAAACTTTAGGACACTACTACCAAAACGTATTTCGTTCATCGAGGCTAAAATGCAGAGGAAAACGATGAGGAAGAAGCAAGAGACGATGAACCGACGGCCGTCGAGCGCTCGATTGATTTTCGACATCATGGCAACATGCATGAATATGGTGAAGATGGGGAAAATGTCTAAGGAGATGACAAAGAGAGGTTGATAGTGAATGTGAGCATAGTCATGATAAATGTGAAGTGTTTGTTTCCTTGGATTTAAAGATATTTGTGTGACGAATTCATGTGACTTTTGAGCCTTAGGGAAGGGATAAAGTGGTAGGTTGACACTAGAGACCATTTTACATGGCAGAATTATAGGGCAATTTTATTTGGCCAGCCCTTGTTCAATTAATTAGGTTGATTTGCATAAACATTTGTTTGAGTATGAAGCTATTGACCACCTAATATAAGTAGAAAATGAAAATTAGTTTTTGTGATCCAAGAAATGAAGTGAATACTCATTAAGTAATACAATTTTGTTTAGTAAGTGGCCAGGCGCACAGTTTATTTGTAATTAATTAGTAATGCTGCAGCATCTGTATTACAGGCGATAATTTAAAAGTTTTATGCTTACAAATTTAGAAACAGTAAGGTTTTATTTCAAATTTTAAAGTCCTTATTATTTTTATTTAAAATGACACTAGTTGCAAATAAGAATTGCTCGTTTTATTTTATAATATATTTTTAACGTATATTGTATAATAACAGATTTGATAAATAAGTTTAAATAATAATTAGTAATTTTATTATTTTCTACTTAGGATATATTACATAATTTATTTTTATTTATACAAGTAGATATATATATATATATTTTATATGCGATATGAATATCAAATCCACATTACGAAACACCAAAATTAACATGTAAGCTTGACCATGTATTTGTAGGAATTTATAATCACATAATATAAATTCAATAACAATTATCTTCGAACATGCTTTAATTCTAAGAAAATCAACATCGCGCTAGATTGTAGATCATAAGGATTATA